ATATATATATATATATATATATATATATATATATATATATATATATATATATATATATATAGCAGAATAAAAAAAACGCTGGATTTAAAAGAAATACTAATATCTTAGTTGAAGTTAAGACCTTTTTTGACAACTAAAAATCAGAAACATGTAGTTTCTGGTAAGGCTGCAATAAAATAACAAAAAAAAAAAAACAGCAATTTCAAACCTCATTTTTGTCACATTTAAATTAAATGTTAATGTAAGTTAAACACGTTTTCACTCCAGGGCTTAATGTGGTGGTATTACAGTTAAGGTGGGTTTTCTGCCACACAAAATAAAAACAGAAGTGGGCATTGAGCGATGCAAGAATGCAGATTTATGTAACCCAGAATTAATCTCTTTCTCATGCTACAGTAACAGGAAAGTCCTGCAACAATGGACGGTGGACAAGCAAACTTTTAAGGAAATTAAAACAATGAATCCCTGGAGAAAAAGATCTACATGCAGGTGCTTAAAGCAAAGGAAAATTGAAATAAGAAATGGCCATCTTAAAATTGGTAACTATATATCCCTTTATTCAACTGATTTAACTTTTTCTTCAATGACGGCTGCTAAACTGTCATTTTCCACGTTCTATAAGATTGAATGGAGAGCATGTATAAGCAAAGATTTTTTAGTTTGGCGTTATCAATTCTCAAGGTTTTTCCAACCTCTCTTAATTTCTTCCAGCATTGCCCTTTATTTAGCACTAGTATTCTGAACGACCTGTTTTACAGAGGCGAGGTGTGTTTTTTTTCCTTTTCTTTCAGGATGATGTGCAGTGTTACTGTTGTGCAAGCAATTGTATTTAGGGGAATCTCCATAAAGGGGGTCAATGCAAATGCACGTCACACTTTTCACATATTTAAACTAGATGTCATTGTACTACATATAAATACACATGCAACTTAGCGATTATTGCAAGAAAACCAATGTAAAGAACGTAAAGGTCCACTACTAGTTTTGTAAGGCGTTATAGCAGCTATATCAGCTTACCAATGATGTCCAGAACATCAGGTCTGATGAGAGGCTCCCCGCCAGTGAGGCGGATTTTATCCACTCCCTCTTGGACAAAGAGCCGAGCCAGGGTCAGCACCTCTGAGGTGGAGAGCAGCTGGCCCCGCGGCGTCAGCTTCACTCCCTCCTCTGGCATGCAATACTGACCTGAGACACACAGAGACATCCACAGAAGGTTTATGAAAGCATTAATAACAGATAAGATGAAAGAAATATATTAGAAAATTATCGCAGAGTGTTTTGGTGAGTTTGAACAGTTTCTCATTAATTAGAATATTGTTCAAAAATCTTATTTCATGTAAACTTCATAATCAAAACAACTAAAATATTTAATTTCCTGGAGTGTAAAAACAGCCATACCTTAAAACCTTTTACCCAGAGTTATAAATAAAACGTTCAACCATTCTTCTTATAAGCCCCCATAATACTAGTTTTTTTTTTTTTTATCTATCTAAACAATTTTTCAGCACAGTCAAAAATACTTCCTACTTTAGTACTACTTCACCTCAGTTCAATCACTTTTATGTAAAAGTGTAGATGAGTTTTTTTTTTTTTAATAATCCCTTTTTAAAAAGAAGCAAATATTATTCATGAATTTTGTTCAAACACAATGAAACTTCATGAATACAGTTATAAGTGTTTATGTAAGTAAATTAACATAAAACAAACAGGAACTTTCATAGCTTTATAAACTTCTATTAGGAAAAAAACTTCATTATTAGAGAAAATGCATCACCTGTAATGAACAGAAACTGTATAAAACAAAAACAAAAAAAGGTTCACAGATATGCTTCTGTCAGGAATAATATTCTGAGCAATTAGCATAAAAAAAATACCTCAAACTGAACCATATATATTCTATTAAATGTCT